TTATCATTATCATTATCATTATCATTATCATTATCATTATCATTATCATTATCATTATCATTATCATTATCATTATCATTATCATTATCATTATCATTATCATTATCATCATCATCATCATCATCATTATCATTATCATTATCATTATTATTATTATTATTATTATTGTTCTTAAAAATGAAAAAGAATAATCTAATTCTATTTTTAAAATATATTTTTATTGTTACTTGTAATTTGAGTTTCTAAAGTTTTGATCTTTTATAAGGATGAGATATTTTAATAAAAATACTATTTCTTCTATATATTGATTATTTAAATTTAATTACTTTTTAATGTATATCTAAATTAAATATTTATTCTAATGCATATATGAAGTAATTATTAAAATATTAAATTAATATTCTAATTTCACAAAAAATAAGCATAAAATAAAAAATATTATTACATTATAATATGAATGATTATTCTAATATATGAATTAACTATTTTTATTTTATTAAAAAATAATCATTAAATAAAAAATATTGATTATATTATAATATGAACTATCATTACAATTTTCAAACGTTATTATAAAGTCAAATCAAATTATTGATTTGAAATTTTAAATTAAATCATAATTAATCAAATCAGACTAGATCAGATCAGATCAGATCCAATCAGATCAGATCAGATCAGATCCAATCAGATCAGATTAGATCAGATCAGATCAGAACAGATCAGATCCAATCAGATCAGATCAAAACTTATTAAAATCAGATCAGATCAGAAAAATAAGTTGAATGGAACGGAGCCTAAGTTGTGAACAAGAGAAAGCATGAACAAATGATGAAATAAAGGAAAAACAAGCTTGGTACTTGTTGTCTTAAGTGTTTACAATTAGGTAGTTGGAAAAAATTGGTGCAAGACTAGAGATGCAGCTAACATGCTGAAGCTGGTGTCCAAACAATGCTCGACTTCTCGAGTGCATAAATTGATCCGAATAACTAAATCAAGCATCTCAAAGAAGATGACGTTGTTGCCATTGGGGTGGCAGGCCCCAAATTTGATCCCTTTTCTCCCAATGTCTGTTTTTGGCAGACCGGGGAAACAATCACGGAATCACCTTATGGACCCAAAGCCAACTTGGTGCGTCTTTCTTCTTCTCCTCAAGGAGCCACTAACATAAGTTGCACTGAGACAGAAACATGGACTTACATGGGGACGAGGTCGAAAGTGTGAAACATCAATTTCTTTTATTATTTATAAAAGATTTAGGGATGGGGTCACCCCCAAGTACCCGATCGAGGACGTTTTGGGGAAGGGATGCGACATCTATTTAAAGAATTCGTGCACAATGCTAGATGATCACATGGAGGCAGTCTTGACTCAGTCCGAATCCAAGTAAAGAATCTTGTGTGAGGCCATACTTAACATCCATACTTGAAGGTGGCAAAAAACTAGGGGCAACTAGGTTCGGCTCAAGCAACTTAACCTTTATGGTGCGGCTAAGTTTCAGAGGAGGACTAGACGGCGAAAGGGCAGGAAGAACTAAGAAGGTCAAAGGGATTCCATGACACAAGAGAGCGGTCGTTGATATGAGCCAATGGAGCATTTCATTGTGGGGCACTATGATATGGGAAGGTTGGTTCAATAATGGGTGAGCCAAAAAGGATACGAATCCACAGTGTGTTCAATCCATCGGTTTATATCCAAAGAAAGGATATGAACACCAAACTATTGGGATTTTAAGCGCGTAAGATACCGAAAAAATATTGAGAGCATCAGAAAAATGAGAGAACAAATACAAGAAGAATATATGAGAGAGAAAATTATATTTCCATTATTTCAGGACAATATACAAAACACTCTCCCCTGTTTACAAGGCTAAATTCTAGACACTTATAAACAGATATTTCCACATCTTATGCCGGATGTATTTTTTTGAGTAACTAAATACCCGCTACTCCCTACACTCATCCACGCTCATCAAGACCCCTTGGACTTTCCCGGTGGTATTCTTGTATAGAACCCTCCCATGTTTCTCTCTCTACCTCGGTGGTGTGTTGAAAACCACACCCATATATTCAATGGTTGCCTTGCTTTGATAACTAAAGAAATACTCGGTATGTGCATGCATGGTTTGAGAAGAAGTCAAGAAGGAAAGGTCCACTTTGATTTGATAATATGCACCAAATTAATTTGTTGTCCAAGTCACGTTTCTTTCTTTCATTTTATTCTTTTGTCTTCTTTCTTATTTTTCTTACTTTTGATTATTTAATCAAATATCCTAACAAACTCCACCTTGATTAAATAATCAAAAAATTTTGTAGCTCCACCTCACTTGTCCCGTGAGATCATTGCTACCCTTAGAAAAAAATTACAATGGCTCCATCTCGATTTGTTCCTCGAGATCACCGCTAACCTCAAAGAAGAAAAGAAATACCTCGTGGCTCCACCTCAATCAATCCATCGAGACCACCACCACCATGGAATTTTTTCGTGAATCTATCTTGCTCAAGTGCACAAGAGCTCCGCAACCATGTGTTGCCTTCGTGGCTCCACCTTACTCAATACCCCAAGCAAAGATCCCCCGCCACTTCCAGTTGCTGTTGAAACCTTGACTCCACCACAACCGACCCCGTCAAGATCTTTGTCACTCCCTTAGCTCCTTAGAGTTTTAACCCTCCACCCCGAGCTAAAAAAAATAACAACTCACCTTTGTTAACACTCTCTGAGACCCCCTTAGCAATTAGCTTCTTTCGATCTGCCCATCTTGCACCGCCGCAACACCTGCGGGACACGTCGCCCGACCTCTTCTTGCCGGGAAGACTTTTGACACAAGACATAAACCGCAATTTTCACTCAGCTAGACCACCAGTCTCCTCAAGTCCTGTTCATGCACCATACTTCACAAAGCCAGCATGCTGCTTCATACCCAGTCCTCATGCCATCCACTTTGTTCCTGAAGTCCCATGGTCGCCTTCTGACCAAAACCTACCAGTCCCTGGGTTCTCAAAATTACTCTTATTAACACTTACAAATCCCTACTGCCCAACACAACTAAGCTCCGATACCAAATGTTGGGATCTTAAGCGCGTAAGATACCGAAAAAATATTGAGAGCACCAGAAAAATGAGAGAACAACCACAAGAAGAATATATGAGAGAAAAAAAATTATATTTCCACTATTTCAGGACAATATACAAAAAACTCTCCCCTATTT